GTCCCCAACAAAACAAGGGTAGGTCTTGCTTTTATTTACACATTCTTTTTTCATTTTCATCAGGAGTTGTTTCACATCATTGCAGCTCTCTGCTGTTTAGATTATATCATCTGCATGTCATAAGTTACTGATGTATCTTCCACCAATTTTTACTTCTTCCTCTGGTTATAATTCAGCTTTCCTGATATGTTCTGCATGCAGATTGAACAGATAGGAAGATAAAATACACCTTTGTCTGACACCTTTGCCTATAAGAAGTCCTGGTCTGCTTTTGGCAGCAAGAATACAAGTTTCTCCATCTTTGACTTCCAATTACATAGTCTGTTTGATTTCTCTTTTGGCCATCTGGTGATGTCCAGGTATAGTCATCAGTTTGGTTATTTGCAATGTGTATTTGCAATAAACAGACTGTTGGCTTCACACAATTTTATTTATTTATTTCCATTTCTATGCTGCCCCATAACTGAAGGTTCTCTGGTCAGCTTACAAATGCTAAAACAGCATTACATACATACATAAAACAATAATCAAATAAAATAGATAAAACAATAGATTACAACAACAATAGATAACATCTCATAATAAAATGCACTCATACACACCAAATAAATACAACTGATAAATTAACCAAAATTAAATTGAAATAAATAATCCATAACAAAATATAAAAATATTAAATTAAATTAACCAAAAACTTTTTTAAAATAAAAATGTTTTCACCTGGTGCCTACAAGAAAGAAGAGTTGGCACCAGCCGTATATCCCTGGGGAGTGAATTCCAGAATCTAGGTGTGACTGCTGAGAATGCCCTCCTCCTACCCCTTTCCCTTTGATCTCCCTCGGGGAGGGCACATGGAGGAGGACTTCCAGAGAGGATCTAAGTAGACAGGTAGGGATAGATGGAGAAAGGTGCTCCCTCAGGTACCCTGGTCCCAAGCCGTTTTGGGCTCTATATGTCAAAGACAACACTTTGAATTGGGCCTGGACTGAAAGAGGGAGCCGCCTGATGGAGGACTGGCATAATATGTTCTCACCAGCCTGTCATTCTCTTTCTTTCCTTAGCTCTAGGCTTAGTTTTTCTAAAATATTTGATTCTGCTTTGTTTTCTATTTTTGCATTCCAGTCACCTAGCACGCCTTGTTCTGGTGTGTTATCAATTTCCACTTGAACACCTGCATAAAGGTTTTAATTCCTTCTTCTTTGGCATCTGTTGCTGGAACATTGACTTGAATGATGGCTCTACTGATGGGTTTTTCACTAATGGGTTTCTGATTGAGACGATTTAGTTGGATTTTGTAGCCTTTTCCTGCCCATCCCACATCTTGAGTATTAGAGCCACCCCATTTCTTCAGAGTGCGCCATTTCCAGATTAAAACACTTGGTCCATTCTGATCTACTCACACCAAGTACGGTGACGTTTAGCTGTTTCATTTCCTGCTTTGCAGTTTCTGGTTTGCTTTGATTCATACTTCCCACATTCCATATTCCAGCTTCAGCATCAGACATTTTGTTTTACCTCTGTGCATGTCACCCATGAGACTTCTTTTCAGCTCTGATCTGTCCGTGCCCTTAGTGAGAGCACTGTCCATACTTGCCCTTGGCACTTCCCGAGTAGCTTGTTGGATGCCTTTACAATGGCGGGTCTCATCTTTTGGCACTCTCTTATTCCATCTTGAACTGTTCATTCATAGGGTTTTTAAGGTAAGAAGGTTCAGAAGTATTTTATCATTGCCTTCATCTCCACAGAGTTAACTTGAGTTTCACTGCTCTTGTCTGCAAAAGATCCTCCGGCAGTGTTGGCTTTAACTACTGCTGCCCAGTTAGCTGCCCATAGGCTGAATTAGGTATAAAAATTAGATGTGCATTTGATGCCAAAATTTTTACCTATTTACCCTTTAATTCTAATTTATATCCCTAGACATGCACAGAGATGTACTATTTGAACTAAGTTTTCACTAAGATGGTAGACCAGTGCCTGGGATCTACCACATCAGACTGTGAGTAGTTCTCTGAGTGCTTCTCCATAAAGAAATTCCCTGCACACAGAGAATGAGATGTCAGGAAGAAGGCTGTACTTTCTGCATGGAGGCAGTATTTTTAATTGAAGAGCATTCAATAAAGTAATCCCCCCTCCCACACATACTTGTGGTATAACCCTGACAGGGGCTTACCACTTTGGTGAGTCTTTCTGACAAATGGGAGAATAGTTGGTGCCCCTGAACATCTGACACTTTTCCCAGTTAGCCAAAGACAGGTATGCCTTTGATTCAGACAATTGATGTGGATCCCATTGAAGCAACTGTAACTGTTACTGATGGCTGTATTAAGCTTGGGGATCTAGTAATATACAGGGCTGAAAATGGAAGCAGGGGATTGCATACAGATCAGTGACTTTTGTTTCATTAACACTTTTTTGTTTTTCTGGCATTTTAATTTTACTGTAATGATGTTTTGATTGCACGTTTGTATACATTTAAAAGCAGTTAAATTGCACTGTGCTGTAAGAATCCAATTAATGCTCTAAGAAGTGTAGCAGAATTTTATGTAAAGCACCATTACTCAACTTCTACTATCATTATACCAAAACTGTTTAAAACTGTCTTAGCATTGGTTCATGTGAAGCTTGCGTTCAAGGGGAAAAATAAACCATTTCCCTGGCGCACGTATTTATCCAGTTTCTATTTCTACAAAATGATATGATATGGAAAGGTATTTTTCACTCACAGGTATCTGGGATCCTTCTTGTTACCAACAAGTCATAGAAATATTGGCAATTGTATTACAAATACAATTGTTCTATGCTTCACGGGCTAAAATATCATTGAAAAGTAACTGTTTAGAATAAATTTGTAATATGAAGTACACCGAAAACCAACAGAAGCATCTAAAATCGAGTGGTCCATTAGAAAGCCAACATTCTGGAACTGAGCATACCACTCCATCTTTCTCTGTCATACCTTCCGGTGCTTCCTTTGCAGTTTGTGTCTTCAAACATGTGTCATTGTACGCATGAGACAGACAGGATAGTGTGAATAACGCACAATGGGGTAGCAGTACTGCATTCACGCCTCTTCGCTGCACATTTGTTGTAATGTGTAAATGATTCATATAGGTTCATTTGCAATGTAACTGGTGAGGATAATGCATCATCCATATCTTTAAAGGATGCCTTAATCCTTTGAGTTGCTTTTATGGGAAGTGGTATCACCCTGTCCAGACACCATCCTCCCATACTTTAATGTGGGGATATGCCATGTGGCATCTTTGGACACCTTGGTGCCTAGTCCTCCCACTTTTTTTTCCTTTTTTCTTAAAAGTAAAGCATTTTGTAGTGACAGCCAGATTACTTCAAAGTAAAGCCAAGGCAGCTCCGCACTGCCATCTTTCCAGATAAATGCCTCTGGGCGGCATGTGGAGCTCAGAGACATTCTTAGGACTAAAGAGGGCAGGTGGCTGCAAGATAACTATTTTCTTTGCTGTGTGCCCATCTTGTGGTGTCCACAACTTCTCAGTTTGTCCTGCTCCTATGCTAGCAAATGCCTGGCCCAGGCTAATGCATCTTCAGGAAGTAACCAGAGGGAGAAACCAGTCCAGTTCAGAGGTCAGTCTACAAGGTTCATCATGCCAAAGGTCCAGGTCAGACAGGCGTGTCTGAGAGACTGTTCTAGGTGGGCAGCTGAAGGTCATGTCCAGTTCAGAGAAGGCATAGTGCCAAACTGAAATGCTTTTGTCTGCCACAGAAAGCAGGATGCAGTTGGGCAAATTTATGGTTGGCTTTAAATCCACACAGCTGATTGATCAGTGCAGTGTGTTGCTTTTGAGGGCCCATGCAGTGCCTTCTCTTCGGACTTCTGATGCTCATGTTCGACCCTTTGCTTTTCCAAGGCTGATGTGCCTATAGTTCTGCCTGCTGCCCATATGGAAGTCCAAGAATGATGGCCCAGGAAGGTCTTCCAAGGGAAGATTGCCTACCTGGCTCTAGTTGAGTCTTCTTGTGGTAGTTTTCTTCTTCTTCTTCCTTAGATGAATCCTTTCCTGAGGAGGGCATGCCACAAATTGTCAAATATACCCATAGGCCCCAAACATTCTGACGATCCTTGCTTTAGTGAGACCAGAATTCAGAATGGGGCTATGCAGGCTCCATTCTTGAGGATGGAGGTTGCCAAAGGCAGGGAGCAAGTTTAGCACCTATTCCACTGATGCCCTCTGTTCACTCACATTCAGGGTGCATGATAACCATTCATTTTTATGAGTACAAGGAAAGTGTTATCATAAACATGAGGAGAGCTACATGCTACTGGGCAAAACTTTCAGGTATAGCTAGAAGGTAGATTGCAAATAATCTGAGGAGCAACCTAATGCAAAGAACCAGCTATGGATGTTCGAAGCATTGTTTTGTTTGTCCTTTTTATAAAATAATCCAGATTGGACTGAACAGGTGTTCACTGAAAGTCCAAACAACCTAAGTAATTGATCTGACCATTTAGAACAGGAAAATTGCTTCAAACCTGGAAGACTAAAACAACACAATTATTTCCACTTACAAATCAAAGCTTTTAAAAGAAGGAAGAAGAGTTGGTTCATGGATTTGATAGCTCATGTTAAAACATTGTTGGCATCAAGCTCAGTTTTTCCATTATGGGAAAGGAAATTTAGCTAACAAATTTCCACTCTGTCATATGACCTGTCTTATGCCTTCTGATGAAGAAATTCTCCATAATTATTGGCTGTTAACTATTAACAAAATGCGATTGAGAAATTGCATAACAAAGCAAAAGAGGGAGGTCTGAGAGTACCCATCTTAGCAATGACATTGTAGAATAGCCCAAAGCTTTCTGTGTTCCTAAGATCCAAACAGTTGTATCCATCTGTGCAATGAACTTTGCTTGTTACTTAATATTGCTGTTCTCTACCATCTCTTATTGTTGGGACGTGTGATGGGGAAAGATGAATGTGTACATGTACTAGAGCTTTCCTCCTCCTTGTGTGTTACTTTTCCAGCTGCTGGAACAAGAACTTTAACATGAACTACTGGCTGATCATCAGGCTGCCCATTCTTGTTGCCATTGTGGTAAGTGATCAGGAATCCTTGGGGGGAAAGGGGGTTGGAATCTCTTGGAGTGAACAGGGGTTTGCTCCAACCCCAGTTTTTCCAGGGGTTGGAAAAACTGCTTGTATAGGCATACTACCAAGAACACAAATAGAATTGGTACTGATATTTTGCACTGACACGAAATATGCAGGTCAGAGGTGCATAAGCTTCCCACCAAAATTAAGCGGCACAGCAGCTAGAAAAGGCACATTTTTCCCTTAAAACAAGGTACATAGGGGAATGTCCCCTCCCTTTATTAAATCTCCTAAAAATGCTCCTGAAAGTGTCCAGTGAGCACAGTTTTGCTTTATAACATGAGGCATGCTCCCTGTGCCCCTTCTTTAAAAGAAAATGGGAGGAGGGGTTTGCACTGCTGCACCATTGAATTTCCGTGTCAGATTTGACTGCACAGGGGCACCAGCCGCTCATGGTAGAGCACAGCCCCCACTTGATTTCAAGGGTGGGAGATTGGCTCTTGGACCGGTGGAAGCCCTACTGTAGGCAGTGCCTTGGGTTTTTAAACAATGTTTTGGGGATGGGGGCATACAATTTCCAGCATTCCAGCCTTCACATTTATAATTCACTGATAGGTGAATTCCAGTTCCTTCAAATATTGCTCTTTTTATTATTTTTTCATAGCTGTTCATTTGAAGATTCTGCTTAGTTCAGCCCTTTTCCAAATAAGTGTGCTTCACCTTTCATAATATGGTTCTCAGCAAATGAAGTATTAAGGTTTCTCATCTATACAGTCTAAAGAATTTTAAATGTGGAATCTAGGATATGTACTATACTAAAATGCATGGATTGATCTGCTTACATGGATTGAATGCATGGATTTCCTTAGAATCACTCCTTCCCATTCACATCTCTGTGTTCCTCCTTCATGCGTTCAAAAGCCACAGACAGTTTTCCTTGCAAAGCGTTTTTATTGACCAAAAGTACAAATCACCCAGAATGAATCTCTGAGCATGCACAGAGCTGTTTGATGAACCCGACCTGGGGCATGCCTGGTCTCCATCCCTTCAGGAGGGGCCTTCTGAAAGCGAGCACACCTCCTCTCCATGTGCCAATCCTCTAATTGGGCCCTCCTCTGCTGCTGCTGCATCATGGGATCAAGAGCTGAAGCTACCTGGTCTGTGTCTGAGAAACCCCTGCTCCAAGAACCCTCCCACCGACTGTACATCTTGGTCATTCCCAGGAACTGCTTGGGAATAACCTGGGGAGTCTGGCCTTGAGATAAGCAGCTCTGCTTCTCTCATCTCAGTGTTTCAGCATGGCCCACACTCTCAAACTGCCCCCAGTTCAGCTTCACATTCTGATTCTTCTGAAACCCAGCCAGCAGTCCTTAAGAGCAAACAACCAAAGCAGTCATCTTTCTCACTTCCAACGCCATGCCTGGACTAATGTTTGCCCGCAAATTGTAATTTGTAGCAGTCTGCTAAGACATACTGTGTGTACAACTGGGCAGAGAAGTATAACACAGGAAACCAGTATTTACTAACCAGTTTTTGCTGACTACGGGCTCCCCTCAGCTCCTTTCGGGCACACAGCATGTGGGTTCAGGGAGACTGTCAGTCTTTGCCCTTGAGGTCAGCTGATGATCAAATACCAGTTTGACTTAACACATCAGGAAAGAGTAACACATGCCACATAGCTGGCTGCTACCAATTACAGTTTATGTGATACCTTGCAGAGAAAAGCCATTTTCCCGCCATGTGTACAGATGTGGATGGAACCTGAAAGTCAATAGGGCAGTCAATCATTTTAGATCCCACAAAGCTGTTAATTTACACTTGTGTTTAAGGTTTCTTTTAAACTGCTCTGTATCCAATCTTGTCAATGCTGTTTCAGAGCCCTGTGCTCTTTTGGAGCAGACACAGTTCTTTGGGAGAGGGATAATCTACCTGTCACATTCTACTTCTGTAGAGTATTAGAATGAATACAGACCTTCGTACAGAGATACACTGTTCATGCTCACCATACATCTTGTAACCCTTTGCTGTTTGTTTTTTCCTAGGTAAATTTCCTGATCTTTATCAGAGTTATATGTATTATCATTGCTAAGCTGCAGGCCAATCTGTTGCGCAAAACTGACATAAAATGCAGGTAAATCAACTTGTCACCAGACATTATTAAGTGCTTTTTAGAGGGAAATGCTTGTGGCAATTGATTAACTGAAATTGTTACAGATTGAAGCAAGTAAAATGTACCAGCAGAAACTCTATTGCTATTTGATCAACAAATGTTTAATTATAGATGAAGTATGACATTGCATGGAGTGCCTATGGGTGTCTCTTTTATTTTGAATAGGCAGAAGTCTTTAGCATTTCTCCGTCCATTATCAAGACAAGTATTACCTGAATGTTTGCAAAAGGATTTATCTTTAATTAAAAAAAAAACATTGTGTTTATGAGCATGTGCAAGCATATAGCGCTTTTGTTTCCTATAACCCTATATTTCCTTCACCTGGGGTACTTCCAGACACAGCTTTTATTATGCAATAGCATTCTCTCACCTGAACCAGGGGTTCAGCCATCATCATCTTCCATTTGTAACCCTCCTCTATTTTTCCCAACTTTTCTGTCTTTCTAATTACCAGAAAAAAATCTGTTAAGGAAGAAAAGACAGACTACCTGAACAGTGCCTTTGGAGTGTTACCACTCAGGCGGAGTCCACCTGAAAGCCTGCCAACTTACCCATCATCTCATTTTTTTTTTAATGCAACCCCTTCTTTTTTTATGCTGAGTTCAAATGTTTTGTTCTGGGAAGGTTCAGTCTAACAGACTTCTTGTTTTGGTAACTGGAATAAAGGTAAAGGTTTCCCCCTGTCATTAAAGTCCAGTCATGTCTTACTCTTGGGGGCATTTCCTAGCCGAGGGAGCCAGCGTTTGTCCACAGACAGTTTCCGTGGTCATGTGGCCAACATGACTAAACACCGAAGCGCACGGAAGCTGTTACCTTCCCACCGAAGTGGAATATAAGGTTATAAATATGCATTGCTATTACTAAATTCATTTCTATTCCACCCCACAGCTGAAGCTGTCTGGGCAGTTTGCAACAATCCTAAAAACACATGATACAAATGCAGTAAAAAATCAGAAAAAAAAAAAAGTTTAAGACTGCTAAGAGCTGACAATAGCAAAGAATGACTCTGTAGCACACCTGGAATGGGCAAGCCCCCTCAAGTCCCTAGGTGGCCAAGTAAGTCCTGAAAGGCCTCAGAGAAGAGGGCCTTCTTAGCCTGGTGCTGACAAGATGGCAAATTCAGCACCACCCAGGCTGCAGTGAGGTAGCTAATCCATTGGAAGGACACCACAGAGAAAGGCCCCCCCCCCTTGCTGCTACCCTCCACATTCCCTTGGAATTAGCACTTGGAGGAAGGCCCCAGAGGTTGGGCATAGTGTCCAAACAGATCGTGGCTGGGAGAGGTGCTCCAACAGGTGTTGTGGTAGTAGGCCATGTAAGGTTTTACAGGTTAAAACCAGCACCTTGAATTGGGACCAGAAGCATACAGGCAGCCCATGCAAATGGGCCGGAACCATTAATGGTTCCATCAAGGTCAGCCCCATGCAGAGTGCATTGCAGTAATATAATCTAGAGATTACCAGAGCATGGATTACTGAAGCCAGGCTATCCCTGTCCAGATCAGGACATTGCCAACGCTGGTAAAAGGCACTTTGAGCCGCTGGTAGAGGCCACCCCTGAGGTTCAAGTGACAAAGATGGATTAAGAAGCACCCCAGAGCCTCACACCAGCTCCTTCAGGGGCATGCGACCCCATCTAGATACTTTGCAGCACCTCACAGTGGTAGGCTCAACATGACTATCTTTCATGGCACATGTAAAATATACAGAGCACTTTGTTGGTAGCTCATTACAGTTTTGAAGGATTTATTTTATTTGTAGAAACCTTGTATCTGGTATGGATTTGATAAAATGTGTTTTTTTAATCTCTAGGTAGATAGAAATAGTATTTTAAAAGCAGCCAAGGTAGTTCATAGTTTTTCTGAGGTTCTGTAAATAAATTATATTCTTTACTTTTAAAGTCAATTCTGGAAATCTGCCTCCCAGCTAGATTAAAACATTTCTTTCTCCCCAGTGGTGGATCTATTACTACAGTGTACTCTGGGTGGGCTACTCTTGAAGACAATCTGGAAACTTCCACATAGTTCAGAATGTGGCAGCAAGATTTGCATATGGAAGAATGGACCATATTACATCAATTTTGTGCCACCTCCCAGTTTGCCTTTTCCTTACCCTGCACATATCAGTTGTATACCACTTCATTTTGATAATTACCATTGCAATGTGCAGGTTGTCATGTCTTCTTATGTCTCCAGTGAGGTGGGGAGTGGGGGCGGCTTCCAAACCACCCTGCAAATCAGGGTTCTGGGGTGGTCTGGAAGCCAGTTCCACTGCCTAGTATTGCCTGGTTTGGACAACATGAGAACCTTGCATGGCAAGAGTAATTATCAAATGGAAGCAGTAGCAATTATGGAAATGAGACAGTGCACAGCTGGCATATGTGGGGTGGGCTTCTTTTGCTTCCTTGGTTGTGCAAACCCAGCTGCTTTCTTCAATTCAGGGTGTCAGCTTTGGCTGTTAAACCTCAAAATGGCCCAGGACTAATTTATCGCAAGCATTGGCTCTTCTAATATGAACTTACCTGAGACTGGCACTCATTTTACTTCCACCAGCATATGGCTGGCTTGTGGGGACAAGAAAGAGGGCCTTTAGCTCTCCTTCACGAAGGGTAGGCAGCTGTGACACTAATCAAGGTGATGCAGCTTGTGAGGCAGTGCAGGCTTCACCTTCTCTCATCATTTATTTATTTTGGGGGACTTTTTCCCTACGCTTCCAGAATTGTGCTAATTTATAAACCAGAAGTATATACGAATGAGTTCAGATGTGTACTTATACACATTGTTATCATCATTATTACATTAAATTTATATACTGTCACTTATCCATAAAAGGCTCTCAGAGGAGGTAATTATACACAGCCTTACTAATGGGAAAACTGAATTTGTGATGAAAAAGGGCTTGAGAAAGAACTATCAGAGGCTTAGAAAGTGTTGCTGAATGTCTTTGATCACTCATGCCTGTGAATTCATGTGTAGCAAACAGACTTGGAAATGTTGGGATCTTTTGTCGCAGCATGGCATACATACAGTAGGCTATACACTGTACTAAACTGAAGTGGGGAGATTGGCTCACTGACAATAATTAAGAGTGAACAACACCAGTTTGCATTTTACTGCTAACATTTACAGAATGGAAAAATGTTTCATTAGTGAACTCCCTAGTACAAAACCAGGACTCTTCCTAATAACCCTGTGGAGTAACAGAAGATGGTAGCCAGGAATGAGGATTTGCCAAATAAAAGAGAAGGGAATGTTCTGTGGTCTGTGGAAATGGTAATGTGGGTTTGGGGACATTAGGGCTGGTTGACTAAGCCTTACAAACACCATGCTTCTGAGAGGCAGTTAAGTAGAGGTGACCATAAGTGGTACACAGGTGCTGCTGCTGGTTTTTCTTAAGGGTGATTCAAAATTTGGACTGTGGCAGCACTGAAGACAATGTAAATATACTTCATGACTTGTATGACTACAGTGGTGTCCTGATAGCCAAGAAGGCATCTGTATTTATCTAGGATCCTTTTTTTAAAGATGCTATGAGAGTCTTGTTCATACAGGCTTCCCCAGAGCAAACAACACATTAGATAAGGTGTTAGAATGATATTGATACAAATTCAAAATCTAAGGTATAAAAGCAACATGACTAAGCTTCTCAATAACATAGAAGTCATGTGGTGCATGGGCAATTGAAACTGGCATTGGGAAAGTAAATGTATGCAAGCATATTAGTAAGCATAAGCGATTTTCAGCATTAGAAAAAGAGGTTTCAGTGTGACTTGCTTAAAATAATGAAATAAGTAATTGTTCAATATGGGAACTGTTCACAAGGCTTGAGATTTCTGATGTGGCTGCTGAGGTTTGACATTAGGTTTGGCTTTGGGGTATAGTTTTCTATGCTTGCACTCTCTAGATTGGCCAAATCTACACTGACTTTGATCCCACTGCTCGGAACACACGAGATCATCTTTGCTTTTGTTACTGATGAGCATGCCAAAGGAATGCTACGCTTTGTGAAGCTCTTCTTTGAACTCTCCTCCTCTTCTGTGCAGGTAGGATCCAGCAATCATGTGTTCTGCATAACTGAAGTCAGTGCTTTACAGCTTTTCTTCTTCTCCAGCAGTTTCTCTACATTTCTAAGTATGTCAGCAGCAGTTCCTTCTGGGATTATTAATCTAGAGATGTGGAGCAGATCAAATAAATAGCTTTGAAGGAAGGGAACGTGAAGCTCTGAATGGGTCTGGTGTGTGCTGGCAAAAAATCCATATTACATATATTTTCAGAAGTTCATGGATACCCGATATGAGAGTACATAGGTTCTGCAAGTGGCAGGAGATAAATCACTGCATTCTCTTCCACTGGAATGAAGTGAGAGGCCATGTGCTATTAGCTTTAATGATTTCACCAGTGTCATGTACCCATCTGTTAGGGTTGCTAACCATCCAGAGTGCTGAATATTTGTCAGAACTGAAGGAAGACAAGCTTGGGGGCAGGGCAAATCAGCCAAGCCCTTTTGCTAGCTGGAATAGCACGCATAGCTCATGAAAACCACACTGAGGCCTTGCTAAAAACCATATTGCTCTTATGTTATGAACAGAGATTGTTGAAATTCTTTCAGACCATGAGCCAAATCAATTTCAGACAAGCTATCAGAAGTCACATTCCGGTGGTGAGTGGGACCAAAAGCAAAAGGAATGGGGGTAAAATAATTATGTTCACATACTTTAGCATTAATCCCTCATTCCCAGTAAGTAACATTTCAACCTTTTAGAATAGGTGGAAAATACACAAAAGCTAGAAAGCTAGCAAATTATGGGGAGAAAGGGGTGAGGCCATATTTAATATCCAGATGAAAGCTTGGGGAGATTATGCAGGGATCTGGACTGAGCTACTCTCAAAATGCTGATGACATCCAGATCTACCTCTCATTTCCATCACCCAGGTGAGGACGTGGATGTCCTGAGCCAGTGCCTGAGCAGGGTTGGATGAGGCCCATGAAAGTGAAGTTTTTCATTGTAAGCCGTCTCGAGACACTAGTGATGGTGGGGGGGGGGGTGGCTTTTTGTTTCTGCCAGAGTGGTTCCCAAGGTGGCTTTCCTGTTTTTCCCAGTCCCCAGTTGTGGAAAGGTTGAAAAACACCATACTAGAGAGAGCCATGACTATTCCTAGAGAAATTATATCTCTAGAGAAAAGCTGTGATTATCTCCAGTGTACTATGCTACCACAGATGACACATCACCAAATGTGTCACATAGTTCCCCAGTTATATCCATGGCTCTTCTCTAGAGATATTCATATAGGGTTTATGGCAGTCCACATGTTCGTAAGTATGCATTGTTTATAACCCGCAGACTACCTGTAGTGCTTTTGCTAACAAATGAGAATTGTGATTGGGAAAGCCCACGCCATTAATGTTCATCTCTTTTTGTCTGAGGCTGCTGCTTGCAGTATGATACAGTTATAGTTTTATTGCCAATTTTGTTACTTTTATCATTTAATGCAATAATTTAGATAGCTAAACTGCTGATAAAATGAATGTAATTACTGTTCCTAGCCTTCAATCAGCAAAGCATTATTCAGAAGGCAGGAATGAAATATTTTGCTGTTGTGTTTCATTCTAAAGCTGTGCTAGAAGTGCAATTAGATGTTGCTTAATTTAATGCAATTTGATTAATATAGTTTAATGCAAGGGTGTGTGTGAACTGTCTATTACTTTCCTATTTTTCTCTTTTTTTCCAGGGCCTTCTGGTTGCAATTCTCTACTGTTTTAACAATAATGAGGTAAGCCAGATTTCTCTGTAGGGGAAAATATTATTCATGCACTGGTGGTAATCTGGATTATTGCAATGAGCTTCACATGGGGCTTCCCTTGAAGATGGTCCAGAAACTTCACTTGGTCAAGAATAGGGCAGGGAGGCTGCTGAAAAGACTGGCAGGTATGATCATGTTAAGCCAGCCTCTACCATCTTCACTGGTCACCAGTTGAAGTCCAGGCCCAATTCAGGGTGTTAACTTGGGCCCTGGGTATCTTAAGGAGTGCCTCTTCCCACATGAACCTGGTCCCTTAGGTCATCATCAGAGGCCCTTGTGAAGGAGTCCCCTCCTCAAGATATAAGGAGGATGACTACAAGAAGGGCCTTCTCAGGAGTGGCACCCAGCTATTCTTTTCAGCACCAGGCAGAGACCTTTTTATTTTCCTGGTATTTCAACTGTTAAAATCATTCTAATGGTTTTGAATTTTACATCTGATTATAGGCTGTGGCTATGCCTTTCATGTTAATGTGGTTTCTATAAAGTTGGTGTGGGTTTACTGGTTCAGTTTTTCAGATGTTAGATTTTAAAATTGCTATATTAATATTTATTATATATTGTTATTTTTTTGATATTATATATATATAATCCATTATATATATATATATATAAATATATATATATATATATAAATATATATATATATATATAAATATATATATATAAAAATTTGTAACCCACCAGGGAGTCTTTTGGCTAATGGGATGGGATCAATAAATCTAACAAATAAATAAATAAAGTGGGGAGTATCCTATGTGCAGGCAGTCCCAGGGTTACAAATGAGTTCCAATCCTGAGAAAACAAAAATTTGTCTAAGTCAAATTTGTACCTAAGTCAGATCACATATGGCCAGCCCTTCACATATATGGGGGTCAGTGGCACAGGACCAACATGAAAGTGGAAAGACTGCAAATAAAGGCCAGAGTGATTTCTCTCTTTGGATGGGCTGGGCAGGAAGGCCTGCTTTGGAAGCTTCCCTCTCTCCCGTTTTGCTTCCTCTCTCTCTCTATGGTGAAGACCATTTCCTGCAGTGCTTTTTAATAAATAGGCTTTATGGCAGTTTGTAAGTATGCCTTGTTCACAAATTGGGGTCTGCCTGTACCTCTGCTTTGGGGTAAATTGAATGGCTGTTGTTGTTGAAGGAAAATGGTATTTTTAGCCCACTGAGCTTTCAGCTGTTTTTGATTAATTCTTGTTACTGCACTTGCTTGTTACATATACTTTGCTAGAATAGCAGTCCAAATGTATACTAAATGAGGACATAAACAGCAGCGCAAAATCTGTGCTGCATTTTGTTTGAAATTTCAATCTGGAACAGAGGGGTGACACCAAGAATTGCAGAGCTTGTAACCAGTGTAGACACTCTGGGTGCACAAAGTTTTCACTAGACAAGATTTTTCTTTTATCACAACAAAGGGCAACTGTGCACTAGAGCAATGGGAACGTGGAAAGGCTAGTTGACTTTGATACAGCATACAAAGACTGCAGACCAGTACTGGGTGTGGCATGTTGCATGGAGGGTATTGAAGAGTTGTGATAGCCTTCTCAAATCCCTGCACATTTTCCATATGATGGTTTGCAGAATTCAGAGGATAGATCACTATTCCATCACGGTTCCAAAACCTTTTCAAAATCTCTTATGGCTCTTCCAGAAAAGAGGGTTTCTGGTGCTACGTATCAGAAGAAATTGTGCAGCAATTCCAGCTTTTTTCTTTAATGGATTTTCTCCTGAAAGGAAAAAGATGGAAGAAACAGTGGAGAAACACAGGAAGGTAGAAGACTGCATCATCTGGATCCCACAGAGAATTGTATAAATGAGGCAGAGTGAGAGTACAGTAAAAGCAACATCTGAAACCCTCAGTACACCAACAGTTTTGCAGTCAAACAGTAAAATTCACACAATTACTTTGTCAACCGTGCCATTTCTTTGGCTGTAGCATATAGGTGCTTTTTCTTATATTTACAAAGAAAAACATGGATGAAGGTACTATATGCCAAAGAAGTAATCTCTTCCTCCAAAATTGTGGCTGAGCTTTTGAAATGAGTCAAAATTATATGTATTTAATTTTGTTATATATGTAACTCTAATAAATCCACATGGCACAAATCATGTTAGCAAAAAGGAAAATATACAAACAGCTAACAAATATGTGAGACTTATAAATAACAACACATGATTAAAAGCAGCAATTTAGTGCTAAAAGGCATATATGAAATAAAAGCCAGCTTAAATACCTCCAGAGGCCTGATTAATAACATACAGTATTCTTTAAAAGCAGGAATTTTGTACATAGATGGATTTCTTTCATTTGGTAGGGAGTTCCATAATGGGGCTACCATTGTGAAGTCCTTGCTTTGAAACCATTTTGGGTATTTCCAGGAGTTCCTCTTTCACTGGAAACCAGTACAGCTACTATCTGCAACACCTAGTACCTGTTAATAGGCAGATGGCTTCGTTTTCCATTAACAGAATCTTTTAAATACTTTCCCAAGCATAGTTCTATATATCCAGTAGTCTTACATATTCAGTAGTCAATTCTTAAGATAAAAAAGCATGGATGGTGATTGCTGGATTCACACTCTGGATAATTAAATATTGTAGGAAAAGGGCATTCAAGGCCAGAAACAAATCTGGAAGACAAGAAAAAATGCATGATCCTGGAACAAAGTAGAGTCCATACACTCAAATTGCCCAGCAATAAGAGAACAGATACCAGCTATTAATTTGTCAGATCAACCATTTCAACATTTTTTAAAAGAGAAGTTGGATAACCAGCTCAGGCTGTGACTTTCTTATCCCCAGAGTGTTAATGAAATCAATTAAATCAGCAACTACCTCATTATATACGTGAGACAGCACAATTGACACCTCAGGTTCAGATCCTGGTTCAATTTTAGCATCCAAGTCAAAATGTAAGCAGTACATTTTATCGTCAAAATATTTCCTAAGTTCGCTACTGTAGAACAAACTCAGAATATTTCACATCTAGGTGAAATGGGCTGCTTAACCCCCTTTTGTCAGAACAGTTAGTGGGTCTGCTGAATCCATCTTCAAAGGCAGGCAAACACCATCACTCCAATTGTGGACATGTGCCCCAGAAATCCACAAGGTTGCTAAGCTAATGATCTGACCATGTTGCAGACCAATGGGGCACAGCAAATCCAAAATGAAGGAGCACAGCAATGGGGCACAGCAAATCCAAAATGAAGGATACAGGTCTCTTGGATCTGGCACTGCTCCCGGATACCAGCATGCTGCAGACCAGGAGCACTTTGCACATTCTTTGCATCTTCAGCTGCAGCCTCTCTCTCTTTCATACCCTACCTAGTTCCGGGTTTCCTAGATTGGTACCCTCCAGATGTTTTGGTCATCACATCCCAACAGCTCCAGCCAGAATAACCAACGGTCAGGAATGCCGGGAGTTGTGTCCAAAGTGTTGTTGTTAACCTCTAACATCCTAAATATCCTGCATCAGCAAACACTAAGAACCTTCTTCCCGTATGAGCCTATCAAAACTTTATGATTGCTTTCATGAGACAAGGCCTTTAATTTAGAAACATTTCTCTCTCTTGAAACAACTGCACCACAAGTTCCTTTTATTGTTTCACCAGTTTATTTCTTAGTTATTATCATTGCTGTACTAGATGAATTTAATTGATTTATTGGTGTTGCTTTAGAATCTGTTCATTAATGTTATGTGCCCTCAAGTTGTCTCCAACTTATGGCAGCCCTATGAATGCATGAGTGAATGAGTGAATGAATGAATGTCTTCCAAATGTCCTGTCCTTCGTAGTCTTGCTCAGCTCTTGCAAACTGAAGGCTGTGGCTTCCTTTATGGAATCAATCCATAAGGGATTTGGTCTGGTCCTTATTTGGCCTTTTCCCAGTAAAGAAACTCTTGCCTTCTCATAATATGCCCAGAGTATGGCAGCTTCAGTTTCATTCTTTTTGCTTCTGGGCAAAATGTTGACTTGATTTGATCTAGGATCCTCTTACTCATCTTTCTGCCTGTCTTCTGCAAAAATATTCTCCAGTGCCATGTTTCTAATGCATCAGTTTTTTTCATGTCAGCTTTCTTTGCTGTTCCACTTTCGCACTCACACATAGTGACTGGGGATGTAGTGTAGATCAGTGGTTTTCACCCTTTCCACAGCTGGGGACCAGCAAAAACAGGAAAACCAGCTGAAGACTGCTGAGGCAGAAACAAAAAGCCATCTCTCCCCTCTGCCCCCCCGCCACCAGCAGCACTGGCTCACCCCCCCATAAATGCAATGCCAACCGATGAATATTTGGTGGAGAACAACCAGCCCCTGCACCAGTCTGTGGTGAACAGGATGCTGCTCTCCCCACCCCCACCCCCACAGACAGGCAGGAAATCTCTGGAAGACCTGCATTCTTAGAATCTTTTGTTTTGTGATGGCTTTTTTAACCATGTTGTTAATAGCCTTGAATATAAACGAGTGGGGTATAAATATAGGGATATAAATAAAATGTATTAGATGATGATTGCATAGTCAAAAATGAATCATGAAGTTGCCTTAGCATGAATGTCATATTCCTTAAGAACCAATTACCTGTGTTGTTGTTGTTGTTAGTCGCGAAGTCGTGTCCAACACATCGCGACCCCATGAACAACATTCCTCCAGGCCTTCCTGTCCTCCACCATCCCCTGGAGTCCACTTAAGCTCACGCCGACTGCTTCAGTGACTCCATCTAGCCACCTCATTCTCTGCCGTCCCCTTCTTTTGCCGTCAATTGTTCCCAGCGTTAGGCTCTTCTCCAGTAAGTCCTTCCTTCTCATTAGGTGGGCAAAGTATTTGAGATTCATCTGCAGTATCTGGCCTTATACCTCAGTCTCAGTCATGGCTTCTCAGTAAGCAAGGACACTCCTCAGTTAGACTAACAGTATTCAGATGCTATCCCTGACAGCACTAGCAAGAGCACACAAATCTTTTTCCCAGGAGAGTGTGTGAAAATAGTGCTAAGTAAGAATGAAACTTCTTAATTGCCTTTACTTGCTCAACTCATTATTTCTTAGCTTGGAAAAATCTCAGAAGGTAAGTGAATGTGAATTAGAGTATGGTTCTAAAGAGAACATGTTTGTGATTCATACTGAATAGGAGAAGCTTAGACCATAATTCAGTGCTTTGTAATATGACATTTCCATTTCTGCTCAGATTGAAGTTGGTCCTCTTTGATTCTTTACTCAGCTCTTACTTGAGCTGAGAATGTTCTCTGATTGACTATCATGGAAAATCCAAAATGACTATTTATTATTTCTCTTGAATACAATTGGGTGATAGCAGCAAGAATGGTAGTCCCTTAGAGGCAATTATGCCTGTTCAATTTTCAACAAAGACATATAGATTTTTTCATATTTTTATATTTCAGTTTTTTACTTGAAATATATTTCATTTTTTCATAGTTTTATATTTCTGTTTTTTTCAAAATCTATGGATCAGGTGTGCATGTGTGTGTGTGTAAAGGGGGCAAAGATCCAGTCCTCCTTCTTTCCCCCTGTGAGTTTTTGAACAGTTTGTATGAAAATGGAACATATCATAGAGGTGCCCCAGCATGAAACCTGTTAAGTTTTAGGGTTACTTGCCTGCAGCGTTTAGAAGAATAAGTGCATGGGCTAGTATGTTACAATGACAATGCTATAATACAAAGGCCAGTTTAATGCCTTTTCCATAATGAAGCTGGTGGTGTAGAAAGAATTGCCATCTCATAGTTCCATCCTATATGTCCTAGAAGCTTTAGATGAAACTTTCATACTATGGATCACTCATCCTTCAGAACCTGTCCCCTGTCCAGCACTTTTAAAGAAACAAGAGTAAAATAGATTTTTTCAGAAAATGTACTACATCTCCTACATCTTCCAAAGCATGAATTGTTTAACAAACCCTCATTCAGAACTGGATTGAAAGGATCTGTTTGTACTTAGGCTTCAGCCAGTGGGGTATACTGGTTAGAGTCTTAAAATGGGACTGTGATACCTGGATTATAGACTCCACTCAACTGTGAGGTTCGCTTGTGAGACTTTGGGCAAGTCAGTCTAATCTGAGTTTAAACAAAGAGAATAATTTCCTGATCAATTCAAAAAAGTAGAAAAAGAGATCAGGATAAACTGCAAATCCTGAACACAAGTAAAGGTAGTGTAATGGTATGATTTTTAATCATAATCCTAAAATTACAAAGCAGAGGCTGCCAATAGTAATGCAGCCTATAAAACACTGAAACATAGAAAACAATGAAAGTTGTCATTAAAATAAGTTTTCAGATCTGATGCTATAAAATACATACAAGAATTTATAAAGACTGGTTAAACATTTTCTATCCCGGTACAAGCATCATAGTGTCAAATTACAAAACAATATGTGGAATTTAATAGTCTTTTCCAGGAGAAACTTAAGGAGCCTTGAAATGCTTGCTTCAACATGGATCCAAAGCATCCAACTTTCAAAATTGGTCAAAACTGGAGACAGAGAAATAATACCAGTTTTACCTTTTACTATTCTTTCCTCATTTTCTACCCAAATCCCACTATTTTTGCTTTTAATAAAGCCATTCCTTTATTTTAGAGTGAATGCTGTGAGTTACATTCTTGGACCAGTATGGTCTGTATAAAATTTTTAAATTCAGTGTTGGAGCAGCAAACATCTATAAGAACAGATTAAACCAGATTAAGCTTTCTTCTCATATTCACTTAAAAAACACAATCAACCACCACCAGGTGGGAAGTGCACCACCCCAGATGAAGTCCACAAGCAGGAAGATCATGTCTATTATAATCCTCCTATTCCTCTGGATACATATCTAAGAGATGTGAGCTTGGATAGTATTAGCCAAAACACTAAACCAACTCCTGCCAGAGTTGGTCAACCAAATTAAAACCCTTTGTCTTAAAAAAAGATAAATTAACTGTATGTGCAATGTACTCCTGCAAAACCTTGCCTAACAGATGATACTGCTATATAGCATAGATATGGTTTTAAGAAAAAATAGAAACTTTTCTTCCTATATGGGGATTTTGCATGTGTCAAATTTGCAAGAAGGTAATACAATAAAAAATGGCAAGATACAAACTACCACAAACCACAGGCTTGTAATTTTAACCAAACTGAAAAATCTTTAGCTCTTAAAATGGTAAATTCAGTGTATACAACACAAAAAAAGTCTCCCTACAACCTAGGTCATATATCATATACTCAATTTCAAAAAACAGCACTGACTTCTCTGGTCACACAGGTATTTAACTAGTGTGAAATTTGCACAATAATGTGCATAATAATGTAAACAATGGCAAGGAATGGATTATAACCCAAAGCACAGATACTAATACTTCAATTAATCTCATCATTGAGATCTCAAGGCACCAGTGGCTTAAGTTTACGAACCCAGTAAACCTTCTTCCTTAGTTAATTGTATTGTTCTTTCCCCTGAGATGGTCCACAAGAAGATAAGTGTATCCTCTTTTCGAAACTCAAAATGTCAAGGTTGCTGTTGCATAAAATGTCCTGCAGCAATAATTCTGAAACTTGGCAGACTTGGTTCCCTCGGAAAAGGGCAACTATGTCTACATAGTTTTCATCCAGTTCTGCTCAGGAGTAAAAAGGAATAATAAATAATATGTAATAATTAATAGAGTTCTTTTTCCCCACAAGGAGAGCTGGGAGGGGATAACCTATTCGTTCCTTCTAGATGCCGCAGGCCAGACACATAACCTGCAAAAAAAAAGTATTACTATCATTGGATTGGATTCATCTCTTGCTGTTTCATGTTGTCTGCTATGCACAGGTCAAACTTACCCCTCCAAAGATTTTGGGGCAAATGGGATGAGTGGGGGCTACAAAGGAAATGGGCTGAACCAGTGCTTCTTTCCACTGGTAGGTTGTCACGATTGGATACAACCTGATAAACAGTTGATGCCATGCATCTTAAGCCGACCTCTTTTTTTTCCTGAACAGGAACATGTAGTTGTTCAACTGGAATGAATTAGTTGGTTTATATTTGCACCATTAGTCCATTTACAATGTAGAGTTAGCATCACCTTATTAACAATCCTCAGTTTTTTATTCAGAAGGCTAATTTTAGCTGATGGAATAAGTGACTTTTGCTGCTGCTGCTTCTAATTTCATTCTCACTGTGATAGGTCAAATCACTGTGTACATTCAGATGGCTTCATTTGTTTTTTGCCTTTTAGATCCCCAAAATACAACAGGAAATGCACATTTCAATCCTTGGGAAAAAATAACAGCATCTAAACAGGCACCATATTCATGGTTTGAAAAAGCCTCCCTAGTTGGATTTTGAAATGCTTGCATGTAACTCAACTAAACTTTTTAAAAATCTCTTAAGAATTAGGATCCACCTGCAGTGTTGTAATTAAATATTTAATAGCATGATCCTGTGGTTTCCAGGTAATGTCTAGATAGGCATACAATTGCTTGGTTCCTCAGCCACAAGGTTGGAAAATTGTCCTGCTCTCACTGCTTTGTTCAGATTCATCCTCCTTCACCTGCAGCTGGTGCAGAAAGAATTGTACTGACTGTATTTCTGGGTTTGTAAGAGTGATCTTGGAGATATGTAGAGGGAGACCCATGCCCAAGATAGAAAGTGTCCTGGTGACCCCTTAGCCCCCCTCCCCACCCCACACACACTTGCTTCAGCGTGCTGTGCTTAGACATTTAAGTGTGAGAAGAGCACAGAGTGATGCCTGTAATCCTCCACTATTTGGAGAGTTACAGGTATCCTTACTGGATTGTACCCTAAATTAATCAAGTCTTTTAATTTGAAATGTTCATTACTTAGGTCCACAGTATAACACATGGATGCCAAACATGGCCATTGGAAGCTGATTTATAGTAAGTCATGCAATTGGCCCATCTAATCCAGTATTATTGACTAGCGGTGGCTCTCCAGAGTTTCAGGCAGGAGTTTTTCCTGCCTTACCTGGAGATGTCGAGGATTGAAATTGGGATCTTCTATATGCAAACCATATCCTATGCCATTATGCTATGGAAAAACAATGGTCTGTTGCTATCACATTTAGTTGCGCCCTAAGGTTCATACCCTTTGTGGGCAAGGATGGCATTCTGTGATGCATAGTGCTCTAGTTTAAGAAGTTTAAGTTGCTCTAGTTTAAGATCACAGTAAGCCAGAGAGCCAGACAATCTTATGCAACAAAACTTTAGAGTTGTTTCTAATTCAGCTCTCTGGGTAGTATACAAATATTAAAACATATTGTGCATATAAACATGCAGTGCAGAAATGCACACACATTAAAAAAACTATCTAAAAAAACAAACCTATGCATGTTTTCCTCAAAAGTTCAATTGGCTTCCCTAGAGAGTGTGTGCATATGACTCTAGCCTTAATCAAGATTTTTCAAATAATATAAATCATGCCTTTTAGCTATAACTAACAAATGGGTGCCCAAAAGGGGCTCTGAAAAAGTGTTAGGCTTCAGACTAGTTTCAGCCATGTTCAGCCCAATCTAGGAGACAACAGATCTGTGCTTTTAGGAAGAGGTTTAGTTAAGGCATTCAATTTCCTGTTGTTGTGCACACAAATGTCTCTTTATTGAGGTATGAAAAGGTACTGCCATTATTTCAATTATGAAACACCCCATAATGGACTAATTAAGTCATTATATGCTTGATGCTATATCAAGGGTTGCCTTAAAACCTTGCCAGTGTTTCTTAATTATATGGGACATTGTATCTTTTGTTAGTGGTATAACAGAAGTTAATAATATAACCTTGAGTTATTATTCCTTTTGCCATTTATTTCCTTCTTTCCTTACGTAAGGTTCGGCTGGAATTTCAGAAAAGCTGGGAGCGTTGGAGACTGGAACACTTTTATGTCCAGAGAGACAGCAGTATGAAGCCACTCAAGTATCCCACCAACAGCTTAAGCAGTGGAGGTACAGTTGGGAGCACAATCTATGCTGCCACTTGTCAGGCTACATTCAGCTAAAATTTCTTCAGAGGCAAGTGCAGGGGAGTCAGACGATCTGACCTGAACTGTAGGAGGTACAATTGAATGGCCAGCCAGACTGATTGCAAAAAGCCTTTGGAAGATTTGAGCCTCCATTATTCATTGCTGCAGGCAGCTGGACAAGCTTTTAAAATAAACCAGACTGCTAATAGAATCAGTGTATTTGAGGCAAGAAAATCCTCTGTAAAGTAAGTTTAAAGAGTTTTCCCCCAATTAATATCAGGCCTCCAGGTGTCCAAAGCCTAAACACTGTTGATGCAGTCACAGAGCATGAGGTTAATAGCTTATTAGTGTGGGTGGACATGTTAAAGCTATTGATTAAATTGCAAGCTTGCAGCTGATTAAAACAGACAAGAAAAAACTTCTGTTGGGAAAGGTAAGCTTAACCTCTCTCATGGCTAGGAAGAAGTAGTTATAATCTGTAGATACCTTTTAAGGCCTTTCCAGGTGGTAGTTTCATGAAACAACAAATATTATTTAATTTCTATAGCATCCATATGCAATTATTTACTCATTTATTCCAGGAGATCCAGAAAGTGCCCTAATTAGAATTTCCCGTCAACTCAAACTCCAAATATATTCATTTGAAAACTATTTTTTTTTGCAGAGAGTTACTATGTCCATTGCAGTTTGGAGATGGAACACCACATGTAAGACAACAGGCACCTACAGGCCACTTGCTGTGACATTATTGGAGATGAGTAATGTGTTCCCTCACTGTGGCATATTAAAATTAAAATTGTTAAGTTTTTGTTGGGATAAATGTTCCCTGGCACACCCGATATGGGAGTACATAGATTTTTTTTTAAGTATCTGAAAAGAGAATCTAGGAGATGGCAACTTCTCCTCCTAACCAAACAGATACCATCTCTTACTCAAAAAATGAACAAACCAATTTTTGCATGCTATGCATGTCTTCTCCCTAGCATTGGAGCCCTTCCTTTATTGAAAATATGGTAAAACTGGTGAACAGCAAGTTCCTCTATAGCGCTCTTCCTTTGCTTATCCATCCAGTGTGAGGGGATAGGATATTGCCGTAATATCACTGGTTCCCTCCTAGAACAACTATAGCATTTGGAATAAAGACTTATCATCTGGAAAGGCCTGAAGCTGTTTTTCTGCAAATCACATTGTAGCAGCTGTGACCATGGTTGGAGATTACAAATGCTAGAAATTTTGGGAGAACATGTTGCCTTTTGTTGCATGCTGTGAAACTTGTTACAGAACATTTCTTGTCTGGAGAAATTTAATCTATGTACAGTTTACTTGTCTTCTCTTGATGAATGCATGCCCTTTCTGTTATCATGAGTGTCTTTTAAAAAGCGTCTGCTAATCTTTCAGTTTTGTCTTTTACATAGTCCTTTGCTGCTTCAGAAGGCTGCATAAATGCTAGTGTGAACCAAAGTAATCAGTACTTTGCTATGAATAATGTGTTATGCTTTGCCTCTTGTAGACAAATGCAGAGAGACAGAAATGTGGTGTAAAAAACATACCCTTTTACTGGGCAAACAGTGCTGGAAACACTTGGTAGGAGTTAACATTGTGGCACTACAAACCTTTATCCACCAAGAGTTTGACAAATTTAGTGCACTTTACTCTTGTATGTACACAGATCTTTTCCTCTTCAAATGGATAATAGTTGCAAGGTTCTTTGTACTAGATATTGGAAGCAAAAGTGGTTTGGTTGAGCTTATACAGTAACTATTTTTCAGCACTTTGGTCAGCTCACTATTTTATATTAGAGCCAGCTGGAATTCTTGCTGTCAATAAGCCTTTAGACTCTTAGTAATTAAATATATTGCTCAAATGGAACTATATAAAAATATGTTCTCTCATCAGCAAATCCATTTCAAGGTGCCAGTCATTCCTAGAATATTCACTAGCATATTAAGAAAATTTGTTTATCAGAACTTACATTTTAAGCTGTTGCTGATTTGAAAAGCATTTTATCTATCAAACTTGCATAATAAAGTTGCTTTAAAAATCTTTCTGATAAAGTGACAGGAAATAGATGTACTCCTGAATTATTCTCAAAGCAGAATTTGGCAATAGACTTGAGCTGGCTTGTAGCAGCTCTGGACTAGAAGCTAGGTTTACCATAATTTGACAGATTCTGCTGTAGCTCCAGAAAACCTCTGTGTTTTATGTGGCATGTGTTTGTACATTGAGCACTTTATCTTACTGGTGCAATAAATTTCTCTATACCACATGTACCCTACAACATGAGGTAAACCTTTCCTAATGTAAGCCATGCTGGGCATTTGTTAAATCCTCCTCTGATATTGCAATGCTATGTTACGTATCACAGTAGCACAAAAAATTTTGGCCTGTGCCTAGTGTGATCTACAACAAAAGCAGATGCTAAAGGCTACTAGAGCCACTATATTCCTGTATGACAGCATAACCTGAGTGATCTCAAATGGATATAGAAGGTTCAGTGGAATTCAAAATAAGAAACCTGAAGTGGAAGCTACAGTGTCAGAAGCAGAACCAATTGGTTCTGATCATCCTTGACAAGACTCCTAAACGCCAAGCACTGTAACTATGACTGCCACAGATTCACAGTTTGATCTATACATGCTTACTGAGAAGTAGTACCCACTGAGTTCAATGTGGCCTAATTCCAGGTATGTAGGGGACTAGCAGCCTTAAACTATTAAACTGTGGATGGGGCCCATCATATAGCCAGTTTCAGTTGCTCCAAGCCACTTTCCCTATGCTTAAAAATTACATGTGCATAATTTCTGCCAATTATACTGTGTAAATCTTATTCCAGTAACCATCCTCATTGTAGGAAATAGTACAAAAGATTTGGATCTGGAATTTCCTTCTGCCATTAGGATACCTCTAGCAGAATAGGACTTCCATGCCCTCTCCTTCTAGGATACAGAAGTTCCATTCCATCAGCAGTATTCTTCCACTGAAGGAATTATTCTGGATCTAATCCCAAATGTTTATAGGCATACATTATTGTGATCAATGAATAATTATTTGTGCAGTTTTTAATCAAAGATGATATTGAAAACAGAGTAGGCAGACTTTGGGATAACAACATAAAACCTATCTATGCCTGTATATGCATAACTTCTAAAAGCAGTGATGTGCAACACAGCCTAAGTTTAACATGCAGATCCAGTCAGTCACATTACATGGCAAATTTATCCTACTTCTGCACAAATGAATACCTAAACCTTAGATGCTCCTGTTCAATAAACTAATAGGATTCATGACTTGTTTTTCTAGATAAAACAACAATATTCTAAACTTATGGTCCAGAGGTAATCCTCATTGAATACAGTGGAATTTACTTACAGGATTCTACAATAAGTGAAGGATATTTATCATCATCATCACCTATGTACCACCCCACAGCCAAAAGTCTCTGGGTGTTTACACTCTGGAATTGGACAGTCATCTTCTGTGAGTAAAGACACCAGGACAAGCTTGATAGACTGTTTAATTGCTTAGGAATTTTCCTCTAGGGTAACAATATGGGAGGAAAATTTGACATTCCTCTACAAAAGCAAAAAATCTGTTAAGGTCTTGTTGTGCATGCATATGTACTGTCAAACCTCCAGTGTGCTTGTGGAAGGCTGACTATGCTATTTTTAATGTTTTAGATTTGGAAAATGAAACTGCTTGTAAGACTGTGCAGCCGTAAGTGGTGGTTCTAGGTCCTGGGACTCAGCTGGGGAAGGCAATAGAAGAGATTAGTCCAAGAGCAGACAGGGATACAGATAATACTGACCATGGAAATGATAGGGAGTTACAGCCCATAGGAGGGGATGATGAAAGAGGAGGGCCAGTGGAGGCCAGCGCTCCCTCCAGAAGTAGACCTGGTGGCTCAGTGCCAACACCAGCAAGAAGCCCAACTCGGGCAGCAACGGGTCGAGTGAAAGCGTGCCCACTTCCACAGTGCACCTCTTCCAGGGTCAGGGCACAGAGGGGTTCATAAGGTTAGCTTTGAAAAAAGAGCAGTACATAAGATTCAGAATACTACTTTGTGTATGCTCAGAGATTTATGGGAAACAAAGATTATTAAGCAAAGAAACAGTTTAAGACTGGTGCTGGTCAGATAAGTGTAAGCAGTGAAATGGAGGATCTTACTGATTTCTAGTAAAATCTGCAGACTGTGGAAGAGGGGAAATCCCAAAACATTAGCTTTAACATTAGTTGAAGCTTCAACTCTTTGGCTTTTAGAAAGATGCTAGGATGGTTTGTATTTTCTAGAACTAATGGTTTGTATTTGCTAGGATTAATTCTGTAAAAATGCTTAAATCAGATAGGAATGTGTATGTAGTTCATTTACAGTTAGTTGTGAGTGAGTTGTATAGTTAGTTGTAAGGCTGATGAGTACTTAACCCAATCCAAAAACATGCTGTATGGAGTGATAACAGATTCAGTATCACTTATAATCAAAGAGGGTCTTGTGGACTTAGTAACCATAGAAAACTGGGAAGTTAACAGTGGTGTTGTAAAGCTTGGTTATGGCAAAAATTACTAAGGGTAGTCACTCTACACAAACAGAGAAAAGCATAAGCCCTAACTTATATCATACTGCTTTGTTAGGTAGGTGTATCTCAGCCCAGGTCCAGTATCAAAACAAAGCCAGGCAGGAAATGAAGTATTTCTATATTGATCTAAATAGGATGTAGTTAATGGTGGGTTGCACTGTCTTCCTTCCATGTTCCTTTTTATGTAGAACATAAGCATCTGCTCTATCTGTAAATAGGGAAGATATGTGGACAAAATGTTAAGAATCTGTCCTATCAGATTTATTTTGGTTCTCAAAACAATGGAATTAATATATGTACAGCACCACAGCTCTTTTGTTCAGCAAGAAACAATGCTGAAGCCATTACAGAAACATCTCACTTGGCTGTCCTTGAATGTTTTGTCTCAAGCCATTTACCAATGGCTTCTATTACATTTTGACTTGATATGAAAACTAAACCCTTCTTTTAAAAAATCCTATTAAAATTCTGTATACTAGCTAAAATTTATTGCTTTTTAAAAATTTCATTGTCTAATCTTTTCTTCTTAAAATAAATTAGTATTCATTTAATTCTTTTTTCTTCACTTTTCCTTTTATTTTTAACCTTTATTTGAAAGCCCTATTTGTGAGTTACAATTAGATGACTTAGATTTCATAGAAATATCTTTATTTCATGAAACTCAATACTTTGGCCACCTAATGAGAATAAAGGACTCACTGGAGAAGACCCTGATGCTGGGAATGATGGAAGGCAAAAGGAGAATGGGATGGCAGTGGTTGAGGTGGCTTGATGGGGTCACTGGGGTGGTGGGTGTGGGCTTAGGTGGACTCTAGGGAATGGTGGAGGAATGTTGTCCAGAGGGTCATGATGGATCAGACACAACTTTGCGATGAAACAGAATATTTGATATATTTATATATATTTGATGAGTTATCTTTTACCCATTGTTTCTCTTCAACAACTCCATCTTACTATTGTAATTCATGTACCCCTCTGCCTGTTTTTGCCTTGGCTCAGACTCATCTTGGTAGGTTTTGGAAACAGTGTTGGCAAGGCTTGGTTCACTGTGACATTAGAGAACAGAACTGTGAGAGACATGTGCCGTTGAAGAGATCCAGAAGGTGCCCTGGAAGCCTTGTATCCAGGGTAGAGCCTAGCAAACCTCAGCCCCTTTAGACCTCTCCCATGTAATTCACGCTAACCATGTAAAGTAAGTCTCGACACTGAGAAAGAAGAAACATTCTTTCATTACCAACAGCTACTTTATAATCTTCCTAATCAAACTTGCACTGATGGATAAACAAGAGAGAAAATGTGCACGAACCTGACTTCAAGTTGTTGCTTCATAATTTGTGGTGAAGACTGCTACATATGGTGCTCACCAGCAACCCGCTCACTGTGATTCTACTGCAAAGTGTATAAATATTAACTGTTGCATTCCACAGTTATACACATGTCTTGCTTAATATAATACAACTTGTGGACTTAAGTGTGTGTGCCTCAAATGTGCCACAAGGCAAATATATGTACATTTAGAGTGAACAGCTTGCCTTTATCTTTTCTGCTTTGATTCCTATTTTTAAATTTTATTTTAATTTAAAATTGCATGTACTTGACCTTTACAAAAGGTACACAACATGTAACCCCACACTGTTGATTAATATGTGATTTTCTTATAAAACTTATGTGAATTTGCCATATAAATATTTGTCATTACCCGTGTTCTCTTTTCATTGATGCTTTAATTTTCTAACCACATATTTCACAAGAGCTTTTCAAATATGAACTTATTATATTTCTCTTTATGTTGTCAAAACATCAAATGTTCTCATTCAGTTTAGGCATAATTTATTACTCACCTTTTTTTACTTAGTACGTTATTAAAATATAGTGTAAAGTATCAGGTTTCAAATCCAGTTATGTAACTACAAATTGCAGTTGGAAAATTACACTGGTGTGTAAACGTAAGTATATTATAACAGCTCAGAAAGAGAGACTGTGTATTAACATCGCCAGTCCTGTTTCATTGTTCCCTTTATCTAACATTGTCTTGACCACTGTCATAAGGATTCTAACTACAGCATATAGCAAAAACAAGAAGCATGGGGAAGGAATTCTTGAGGTCACCAATGGAAAAATTAACAGAACCCACACAAGCTGGTATTCCTAGTTGTATCTTCCTCAAACAGAACTAAATAGAACTAAAGAGGGTCAGGTGCCTGCCCCTTTAAAGGAGGCGGTAGTCCGACCGGTCCTGAAGAAGGCATCACTGGATCCAGAGATGGCCACTAATTATAGACAAGTGGCCAACATCCCGTTTCTGGGCAAGGTGTTAGAGCGAGTGGTGGCAGGACAACTCCAAGCACTCTTGGATGAAACTGATTATCTGGACCCATTTCAGTCTGGCTTCAGACCCGGGTACGGTACTGAATCTGCCTTGGTCACCCTGTATGATGACCTGTGCAGGGAGAAGGACAGGGGGAGTGCGTCCCTGTTGGTTCTCCTGGACCTCTCAGCGGCTTTCGATACCATCGACCATGGTATCCTTCTGGATAGGCTTGCGGGATTGGGGGTCGGAGGCACTGCTTTGCAGTGGTTCCGCTCCTATCTCAACGGCCGATTCCAGAAGGTGGTGCTGGGGGACTATGGCTCTGCACCATGGCAGCTATGCCATGGAGTCCCGCAGGGGTCCATTTTGTCCCCCTTGCTGTTTAACATCTACATGAAACCGCTGGGAGAGGTCATCAGGAGGTGTGGGCTGCGGAATCACCAGTACGCTGACGATACCCAGCTCTACCTCTCGTTTTCCACCAATCCAGGTGAGGCAGTGGCTGTACTGAACCGGTGCCTGGCCGAGGTAATGGGCTGGATGAGGGCCAATAAACTGAAGCTCAATCCAGACAAGACGGAGGTCCTGTTGGTAGGCGGTTCAGGCTTCGGAGAAGGTGAATTGAACCTTGTCCTGAACGGGGTTGCACTCCCTCCTAGGGATAAGGTCCGCAGCTTGGGAGTGCTCCTCGACCCAGGTAACAGCAGCAGCGAGGAGCGCTTTCCTCCAGCTTCGGCTGATTCATCAGCTGCGCCCCTATCTGGAGTACGACAGCCTCGCAACAGTGACTCATGCACTGGTGACTTCCCATCTTGACTTCTGCAACGCGCTCTACATGGGGCTACCCTTGAAGATGGTCCGGATACTTCAATTGGTTCAAAATAGAGCTGCCAGGCTGCTGACGGGAACTGGACGTTATGTTCACATGACTCCAGTTCTCAGGCAGCTTCATTGGCTTCTCATTGAAGTCCGGGCCCAATTCAAGGTGTTGGTGATGACCTATAAAGCCCTAAACGGCTTGGGTCCTGGTTACCTGAAGGAGCGCTTACGTCCATATATGCCCAGCCGCCCCCTGAGATCAGCGGGAGAGGCCCTCCTCCGGGAGCCCTCAGTGAAGGAAATTAGGAGGGTGGTTACTCGGAGGAGGGCTTTCTCAGCGGTGGCGCCTAAGTTATGGAATGCGCTCCCCAGAGAGGTCCGCCTGGCGCCGTCATTTGTTTTTCGGCGCCAGGCAAGACCTTTTTATTTAAGCAGCATTTTAAATGTTAATATTATTGAATTTTATTTGGCCAGGGCGGCTTATTTTATTCTACTGTATACATTTTAATTGTTATTGTTTTAATTTATTGTGTATTTTATTCGATGTTGTGAGCCGCCCCGAGGCTTCGGCAAGGGGCGGCATAGAAATGTTTAAATAAATAAATAAATAAATAAATAAATAAATAAATAAATAAAAAATAGGAGACAGTGATGTTTTATGTAAGAAAATTCAGTGCCTGCCTTTGGTTAGGTATTTGATAATGCTAAACAGTGCATAATCTTTAAACCTAATCAGAAGAACTCCTGCCAATGTTTTTGCCTTTGATATTAGTCAAAATTCTCCCTCTTCTATAGTTTAATGGGGGTTACTTTCAAAGAACTAAGTGTGCAATGTTGCCAAAGTTAAGCACTTTGAAGCCCCAATAATTCAATTGAGCATATGCTGAAATCTCTGTTGACTCAGATGACATCCTTACCCTAGTCCTAGAAAGGAATGCAGCATCTGTCTTAATGCAGCATACAGGTAAATCATGTGATTTCAATGGGTTTGTAATTATGACTATATTGACTTTCAAGGAACTACAGTACATTTCTACAGGCAGTTCTAGATATATAATATAGCAGTAAACATAGTCTGCATTTTGCAAGCATTGTGATACTTCCATAGTACTTATCACATGTAGTGCGTTGGAAATCGTTGCTATCAACCTATCGGGTTATGTTTAATCCTATACACATATATTCAGAAGTAAGGGTAATAAGTCCCTTGTCTTCCCTGGGACTTATTCCTAATAAAATGCATGCAAGACTGGAGCCTTGAGCAGTTTTTAACATTTGCATGAAACCACTAGGAGAGGTCATGTGGCAATTGGGCTGAAATGTCATGAGTACACTAATGACACACAGCTGTCTTAGAATAGCAGACATCAATTGTAAAAATACAATTGATTTTTCTGCTAGTTTTAACTGTGCTATGTTATTAAATGTGATGCTGGTAGAATTTATTTTAATTTACGCTGCTTTGAAAGCTGGTTAAGAGTGCATATAAATGATTTAAGAATAAATGTTCAGAGAGCAATAATCATAGCTGATGTGAAAGTCCAAAAGAAGTACAAATCAGAGGAACTGCATGACACTAGATTAAATCATACCCGTCTCTGTACAGTGACCTTGAATCTGCTCTTGACCATGGATTTCTATTAAAAGAAGCAGGAGTGATCACTTTTTTCCAAAAAAGTGATTTTTCAAAAAAGTGATTGCTGAATGAAAGTGGGAAATAGCTCTTTCAGATTTGTCCTGTTGCTGTAGGCTTCTGTACAAGCAGAAACATTCTTGCATTTATCTTAGCTCTGAGTATAAGGGTTGCCAAGAGAATTAAACATAACTTTAAATATATTTAAAAGGGTCCATGCTGTTTATGAAAGTGGCCTCTATCACGGGGATCTATATAACCCGTAAAAAGTTGTTCTAAAATGATATATATGTTGAATCTCCACCTCTTGAGGAAGCTTGTACCAAGAACGCTGTGAGGTAGGTTAGGCTGACAGTGAGTGAACCCAAGTCATCCACTGAGTCACCCAACAGCTGAGGGGGCCTTAGAACATGGATCTCCTGGGTACCCTATTGAACACTAACCACTACATCACAGTGGCTCTCAGTGTGTCCTTGTGGCACCACTCACCAAGTTATAGAAGCCAACTTCCTTTGTAAAAATCAAATTGCAATACATTCTTGCCACTTATTGTTATGACTACATAGAAACTGTCTATTTTATAACTCTTGAAACTGCCAAAATGTCTTTTGTTTTGATGAGTTGCTGTACTTAGATGCCACAATACAAAAGGAACTTTATGAATATGCACTTTTCATGGCAAAGGACAAATACTAGTGGCGCTGTTGCTAATGCCACTACTAGGCCAAACCTGAAAAGAATTTTAGTGGCTGACATGGATAGAGATGAAAGGCAAGTGCAATGCTGCACAATTGGGACATGGAATGTGGGAGTATAAATGAAGGCAAACTGGAAATCATAAAGAAATGAAAAGAATGAACATTGCATTACTTGGTGTGAGTGAACCAAGGCAACTGGAATGCAAAAAAAAGAATCAAAGGAAAATTTGGTCTAGGAGTGAGACATGAAGCAAGATAACAATTTGTAGAATTCTGTGAAACAACAACCTGTTTGCTACAAACACACACTGCAAGCAACTGCTAAAACTATTGTATACATGGACTCTACCAGAAGGCCAATATAGAAATCAAATCTATTAACATAATTGGAAACAGAAGGTGGAGAAGCTGGATTCCTGCTGCCAAAACAAAATCAGGAGCAGACTGCAGTAGTGACCATTAGTTCCTAATTTCAAAAATCAAAGTCAAGGTAAAAAAGATCACCATCAGAAGCATAGTGTCAAAATAAAACTTAATATCCCTGAAGAGTTTAAAGTCCACATAAAGATCACATTTTGACTGCTCAACTACAGGTGCGATCACAGCCATCTCCCCCACCCGCCACGCACGATCACAGCCATCTCCCCCGAGGCATGACTGTGATTGCACCCGTGCAGGGAAGGTGGGCACGATTGCGATCGTCACCCGAAGGGGAGTTCGCAACCTGTGGCAAATTTTTTATGAAATTTCTGTTTGTGACCTGATTTGGTTGTGAACTGAGGTATTCGTGAGCCGAGGTACCACTGTATATTATTCCAATCCTGAAGAAACATGCAAAAAAGTGAAGCAACCACAAGATATTTCCATTAATTTCCCACACAAGCAAAGTGTTGCTCAGAATGTTGCAACAAAGAATACAGCCTTGTATGTAATGAGAAATGCCAGACATCCAAACTGGATTCTGAAACGGAAGAGGCACCAGAGATTATATTGCAAATATACATTGGCTACTGCAGTGCACCAAATAATTTCAAAAAAATATATGTATATCTACACACATTCATACAGATTCTCTCTCTCTCTCCAGTACCTGTAGTTACTTTATTACTGCATTATTATCGTTATTAAAATGAAGTATTGTGTTTAAGATGTTTTAGCATATATGGAAGTGTTTTATATGCTTTTCATACACATGATCCAACTTATATACAAATTTGACTTAAGTATGTTCTCAGGAACGGAAATCATTTTTAAACCAGGGACTACCTGTAACTATTAAAATTATTCTTTCTCTTACATTTCTATCCAGAGTAATTGTGACCATTGCACACCAGACCCTTAACTAATCTGACTAGAATCTAGAATCTAGAATGTACCATTTAATCCACTGTACCCAACGACACGCAGCTCAAAAATGGTTGCTTGAATAAGCCTTTACATAGTTGGCCCCTGTCATTCCTCTTTTTGTATTAGAAACAGGAAGTGAGGCTAGACCCTCACTGTTAACATTGAAATACTTTTTTCCTAAGATAAAAAAATTCAGAGATGACAGTTTCCACTTTGTTCAAGAATAAACGGAGACAGTTTTATTTACACAGTCATCAGGAAAAGATGGTACTGACACCATTACCTTTCAGCTAAGGGCCGATACTGTAATTCTCTCTCAAACTGTTCAGCTGTAAGAGTTCCATCGATAGCTTCGCAGCCTGGATTAAAGACAGAATAAGCACTTTTTTCTCCCGTCTGTCTTTCTTCAGGGCCACGTGTTCCTACATAAATCCAGTAAAACATAGAAAGGACAAAATACGGCAAACCAAATTCCAGTTCCACAAAGAGTCCCAGTAAGACCAGCCACAGAAGAAACTTGAGAAAGGTCACATTCAAGAGCAGGTAATGGGTCCACCATGGCAGAGAGGATGTAACAGCCTGGCTGTTGGGTCTTTCTCTTCTGGATTCCTAAGAAATAAGATCAATAAAAAATCACCAGGTTATTCATAGTACGGATGAGATGGGTTTGAAAAAAGGTCACCAAAGGCCAAGGTGAAAAATTATTATGATTATATTGCATTTATATCCATCTTTTTTCCTCTTGTAAACTCTGCAAAAATTTAAAAGTACATCAGTGGATAGAAGGATGATCATCCAACCTTTCCAGTAAGGCTAAAATAAAATGACTGTTTTAAAATTACTAGAAAAGTCTAAAAGCTAGAAAGAACTTTCTAACCACAGGGACACTTAAGCAATGGAAAATATGGCAAGAGATCGGCTGTGTGATCCCCTCTCTTAGTAGGTCTCAAAAGCAGACAGGAAGGCATCTGTCACAGATGGCTTTAAATATGCAGTATTTCCCCTTGCTATAGGAATAAACCTCTAGATGTATTTTCAGTTCTGTAATTCTATACATTTGATGAAATCTTCCTGAAAACTACAAGATAGAATTAATGGTAGGAATAAATGGAAATCTTTCAGAATGAATAGTTATATGGTATCAGAATTGGCATTTGAACCTAAGTTTTTTAATTAATTGTTTTCATAAGTAATCAGTAGGCTGAGACTTAAGAAAGGATCTCCTAAACTGGGAGAATGGGAAACAGCATAGTAGATAAAATTCAGTACAAAATAATTTTTAAAAACTGCATGGGGGTGTATGAATGTATATATGTATTCATACTGAATTATCAAGGAAATTATTCCAGTTCTACTGTCAGCTGATGTGTATATAATAATTTTCACATACTAACCTCAACAGTTTGGAGGATCTTTTTTAACATGCTGCCTCAAGTACTCAAAACTACTGTTCTGATACCAGGCCAAAAGCTATCGACACATAGCATCAGTACCTCACAGTAAACTCACATTTGTTTGTTTGTCTAGTTAGTTTTTATACTGCTCAATAGCTGAGGCTCTCTGGGCAGTTAACAAGCATTAACATTAAGCATAAGTTAAAAAGCCACACATGTGCATATGCACACACATAATTTAAAAGAAATCCATACAAGCAATAACAATTGCTATTGCTATTATTCAGCATAGAAGCATAGCAATGATACAGAATAAAATGGAATATGTAAAATCAGTGTTTAAAAGTTAAAATGTTAAAATGCTGGGGAAATAAAAAGTTCTTGGTGCTGAAAAGAAAACAAAGTAGGTGCCAGGCACACCCCTTTCAAGAGCTCATTTCTAAACTAGGGTGCCATAACCTCAGGTTCCAGGTAGGTAAATATGGGAGGAGGTGATCCTTCAGTTAGTGGGACAAAGAAAGAATACTGGTTGTTGCTATGTGGACAAAACTGCATACATATTTAGAAAGAGGATTTGTTCTGGACACTAGGATAAGTGACCAAACCCGTGGTGTCCTGTTGCACCCCCACCCCCAATATAAGTGAATGGATGGAGATACGGGAAATAGCAATATTTGTTATTTAGAACAGTGGTTCTTAAACTCTCCCCACCCTGCCCTGATAGACCACTTGAAAATAGCTGGCTATCTTAGTAAAGCACAAAGGAATCACTGCTGTTCTACAAAGAAAAGTTTAAATAACTCATATTTGAGTATTTTTTCCCCTTTGGCACAAGCCTCACCATCAAAACCAGTGCTGCAAATGATTCTTTCCTTCTTGGGAAAGAATTTGAGATCTGGGTGACCACAAGTCTGCCCCCATCAGAAATCTGATGGCAGGTTAAAATAAAATGAGAATATTCAAAACGATCCTCTGAAAAGACAAAGTCTCAGGAGGTTGAAAAAACATATGTGGTTTTATTCTAAGAACCAGCTATGCACATTTCAGTCTTGAATAGATGCCTTCCTTAGTGGCTAGAATGGGACAAATGCCTACATGCATTTAAAAAAATAAATTAAGAATAAAACAGCCATTTTAGAAACATGGTAATTTAGCTAATACTTAATTACACTGCAAAATTGTCTGATTACTCTCTATTAATTAATCTACTCTTATGATTCTGCCTGGGGAGCCTAAGATGAAAACAATCTTATTTTAAGATCAAGTTTTACGAGTGATACCTCCAACACTGAACAGAATAGAAAAACCATCATCATACTTTTTATTTGGTTTAATTGGCAGAAAGAATATAAAAATCAATTTATGTTTAGTTACACATTATTGATAAGCTAAATGTGTGGCTATGGTATGTGTCCCCATAGCTGCAGAGTTAGCCAGTTAGTATAAGGAGATCTTTGAGAGGGATATCGTTTCCTCTGGAAATTCTTTTATAGAAAATCTGGTCTGTAGGTATTGATATATTGGTCATGTGTTTTTATATAGAGGGGGAGTGAAGATGATTTGCAGCATTTCTTCAAAGCATTCTATAGATGTCAATATAAAATTTGTTCGATTCTAATACCAGAAACAAATCTATATACATCATCTATAGGAAAAAAATATCTGATACTGTGGTATTTAAAATAGAATAGTTCACACCCTAGCCTAAGACACAATTTAACATAGGAGCATTTTCTTGGTTAAAGATGAAATTGTGCCAAGGAAGATGATTTGCACAAGAATCTTACCAACAGACTAAACAGAATATGTAAGGGCAGTGGTAAATAACAACTTTTACAAACTGTGGCATGCAAGATGCACTGATATTCTGGAAAAAATGAAAAGAAACATCTAAAAACATCTAATTTGATCACAGGCCAAATAATTTGCAGGGAAGCATTAGAAAGAATTGTCATGTTCTAACGTATTTTGCGGGAGCTAAGAAATGCCTGATTTCCTTCAAAAAAAGAACATCATGCTAGTAAGTGGCGAGTTAAGAAAGAACAGGCAGACATACCACTACGTCCTTCAAGGTGCTATGATCCCCACATGCCACTATGCCTGTGGATATTTCAAAATATACTTGCAAAATGATAGTTCAAAGATATGATCAGCTAAAAAAATATACAGCCTGAAACAACTGCACCATTCATAATGCCAGCTGGGTGTTTTATTCCATCTGTTGCCCTGTAGAAAACTAGGAGGACAAAATGCTCAGGCCTCTTGAAATACAAACAGGTGAACATTTGTGCATCAGAAGCAGGGCAATTCCCTGGTATGGAATCTTGTAGAACAAAACTACACTGCAAAAGATGCAAGGTTTTACAAAAAGTTTTTACAAATGGGAATAGACTACTTAAAAAAACCTGAATGGATTCTAAAGCTTGAAAATTCTGACCCCTGTGAGCCTTAATGAAGAGAAGTTTAACCCCTTCCATAAAATTCAATACTTTGAGGCATCAAAATGGGAGAATCAAATTAGAGTCTAGTGATAGAGCTGTTCGTTAAAACTTTTAACTAGTGCATATCACAATCTGTGAATAGTCGGAATTCATATTAGACACAGAGATCTGCTGGCATTTATATACATAAAAACTGAATAATCCCAAATAATTTTGCAGTGTGCTAATTAGCATTATTAACTGCATTTTTAAAATAGATGTTTTATTCTTAAATGTGTTTGCTTCTGTTCTGCTCTGCTTCAATCTGTTTGTTATAATCTTACCGCCTGAAGAAGGCCCATAACTCAGTTTTGCATACAGCTACTTCTTGGAATAAAACCACATATATTCCCTTCAACATCTCGAAACTTTGTCTCTTTATTCCATTAGTTCCAAAGAAGAGTTACCTACGATGAACTTAATAGCTAGTTTAAGAAGAAGCTGTTCTCAAGACAGTTTGGTTCCAAGCCATTTAAGGTGACACTCCTGCAGGCAGTGGCTGCTTCCAGACAAGGCATTTAATGTGGAACTGCCATGGTTTATTCACTCACATTTTTCAAGAGATCTGCAAGATGTCACCAGCCATTTGCCATTCTCCCATGTTCATCCAGTGCTGCTCCATCTTCTCAAGGAGTAGAAGAGTAAAATAGTTTCTACAAGTGCATATATTCTATGCTTTCATCTGTTTTAAGAGGTGTGTTTTTACACAGGCAATGAACTTTGGGCAGCTCAGCACAAATTTAGCCTAACTGCTTAGTGGGTTCCATTTTTTCTTGATTTTTTGGATAGCATTAAATACCTTTCTGGTTCTCTGTACAGTGAAATATCAAGTGGTAAGCCATCTGTATACAGCTCCCTTAATAGAAATTTGCCAAATGAACTCTTCCAACTCACTCCCTATCAACATAAAACTCTTCAACTGTGCTTGAACATCATTGTGAATGTCAGTCACTTGAACCTCTTCACTAGCAGTGAAATTCTGCATTTGGGGGCAATTGTTGCAATGAAGACCCTCCATTCTCAATATTGGGCCCAGCCTTCAATGACCAAAATCCTGAAGAAGAATGGAATTAACCACTTTGTAAGTCACATATGCTGATACACTGCAACCTCTACAGTAGTTTTCACAAAGACACATCTACAGTCACAGCATTATGACAGATTGTCACTTTTGCACTATTAAATACAAAGCAGCAGAGCGATCCAGAACCAAAATAATGTGGTGGATGTAGGAGTAGTTTTATCAGGTAGACCTGAGTTCAAGTCCCTGCTTGGCTATACAGCTCAAGCTGGGCAAGTCAACCTACGTTACCTCACAGGGTTGCTAGGGAGTGAAAGGCATGGCAGCAAGCTGGAGCTGGGGGTCAGGCTAGATGGCCCCGAAGACACCTTCTGACTTGCTCTGTTTCTATATTCTCTGTTTTTATTGTATGTTGCTTTTATGTGTTTTAAAATGTGTTATTTAATGTAATATTGTTGTAATCTGCTTAGAGAATCCAGCTAGTTATAGCGGAATTTAAGTTTAATAAATAAATACCCTCTTGAATGAGTTGGAAATAGGGAAGCATAAAAATGTAGTTTAAATGTTAAAAAAAAAACCGCAAAGACGGGGTAGTGAAAGCATGACAGGAGCTCTACAAAGCAGCAGACTCAGGCCTAAAACTTTTTCCGGCAGGTGCCTCCCAATGCTCCAAGTGCCGCTGCATACTTGAATACACGTAGGGCAAAATAAAGCATAAGCACACAGGAAAACAGATCAGAAAGAAGGCTAAGTTGAACACTGTCCTCTGACCCAGCATGTATAGGATTTTGAGTGCCTCGCCATTCAAATGTGCAGCCACCTCTAATATTCTTAAGCAGGAGCACGATTTTCTCCCCTTGAATAAATTGGCCTCAGCTGCTCTTCGGAGGCGGCGCCTCTCAACCCACCGGCAGCCGCGACCGAGGACTAGCAGCAGAATCGGGAGCGATCGCGGTCCTGACGAGAGCCGTTGGCCGTTTGCCCGAGCAGCCCGGCAGGCTCTGAGGGAACGTGAAAAGGCGGACTCGGCCTCCTCGCGACACCCCGGCAAAGCCAGAGCCATTTCCTGAGACTGAACCCACCTCAGGCGACGACGGGGCCTGCGCCTGCGTAGCCGTAGTTGCCGCCTCCGCCGCCTTTCCTGAAGGGTTTGCGGGACGAGGCTTGTCACCAGTGGCGCGGCGGGAAGCTCGGAACTCGGCCAGCCTCTGCTCCATGGAGACGGCAGAGCGGACCCGCTTAGACGAGGCTACAACGGCGACCGCCGTCGCCAACAGCCGGCAGCGCCAGGCCGTGGCTGGAGGGGCTGTGCTCGCAGAGAGGTGGGTGGGAACTGCCTCGCGACGGCCGGGCAGGGCCTGCCCTGGGCTGGAGCAGCGGAGGGGAGGGGACTGGCTTTCTCCGCCCCAGCGGCCAGGCGAGCTGCAGGTGGTTGCTGATTACCCGCACAAGGATCGTCCCCGAAAAATGCTGATACAGGGATGATGGTTGTGACGGTTGCTGCTTGGCAGGCGTCGCACCAGAGGCGCATCCCGGGAACAGCAGCCCGGTAACCGCTTTTCTAGCCTTTGCTGGGCCTGTTGCTTCCCTGCCCCACCCTTTCTTGCGCTGCCCCGAGAGAGGATGAGGCAGCCCGTCTGCTCCTGCCATCTGGGCAGGATGGTGGTGCCCCAGCGCCCAGAAGAAGGGAGAGAGAAGCCAAGTGAGCAGGCACAAGGGGGATTGCTCCAGAAAGGACAGGAACTGCTGCTACATCCGTGCCCTCCCTCTGAAGGTTTCCTTTGATCCCCATTCTCCCTGTTCTTTACCAAGGAGGAATGTGAAGCAACAGGCTCTAAACTTTCTTCTTGCCGTAGCTAAGTGCTAGAACATAGGTACTCCATGCAAATAAAATAAAATTCTTGGATTCATGGAATCATAGAATAGTAGAGTTGGAAAGGGCCAGGAAGCCATCATGTCCAACCCCCAACTACAGCAGGGCACTAAATCATGGCATCTGTACATAAAGCCAAGAAAGACCCTTACCTGAAACTGGCAAGGTGTTGCTCGTCAGTGTAGAATCAACAATGTGGAACTCATCCTCTCCATCATGGCTGAAAAGAGGGCAAGCAGGCAGATGTGAGGTAACAATTTGGAAGTCACATATGGTGATATACTGCAACCCCCTGCAACAGTTTTCACAAATACACATCAACAGGCACAACATAATGACAGCTTCATATTATTTTACCCAGAGAGTAAGGGTGAGAAGTAAAGAGAAGCAGTGTCCACTGTGATAAGAATGAAAGAAGTTGTATGCTTTGTGTTATGGTTGACTTTGAATGTCCCACTCAGCCTGTGGGACAGACCAACTTACCTAGGTTGCAACCTTATTTTTGCAAACAGGCCCAGCTATGTGAATGGTGGCATTGCAATGCAGATGCCCTGGCTGAGGTCACCTCATTTCCAAGCACCTCCAACTAGCAAACCTATTAAATAGTAGTTTCCCACTACAAAAACAAAAAAAACAAAAACCCCCTAAGATCTTTCCAGAATCTCTACCTGGACAAGGATCAAAGGAGATATACTCCTCTCAGAGAAGAAATTTGGGGTCTTTCTCTCTTTGTTCCACTGCTAAAAAGAACTCTCCTAAGTAGAAGAGTTAGGCAACACAGGCAACAGAGGTCATTGCACAAAGGTTTTCTTCCGGTCAGGTGCTAGACTTTCACACAGGAAGGAAAAAGACCTGACATGGGCATCCACCTGTTCCTTTACAAAAATTATTCTGCAAAGGACTTCCAATTAGTACAATCACCACAGAATGAGTTTCTGAGCATGTACAGAGCAGTTTGTTGAACCCAATCTAGCAACTACTGAGAACACTCCTTTTGAGTACCCCTGGGCCTCCTTCTGGGAGGGCCCTTTTGGAGGCAGGCAACCCTCTGTATGTGCCCCTCTAGTGGCCAGCCTTTCTCTCCCACTGCCATGTCATGGGATCAAGAGTTATACCAGGCTGGCTCCTGCCTCATGCCTCCCTCCTGCCAGTTGAAGAGCCTGGCTGTTCTCTGATCACCTGGAATTGGCAGACTTGAGATAAATCCTTCTCTCTTTCTCAATGTCTGAGAATGCCTGTTCCCAGGGCCCTTTCTGCTCCTCATCTGATGAGTATGCATCTGCCTGACCTTGGAACATACTCTGAGAACAACTGTCCTTTTCATTCCCAGCACAATGTGAGCTAGGATCTCTGCATACTTTGCTGTGAAACAGGTGATAGATGTTGGCTTTGAGTAGATTATATTTAGAAAGGGATTCTGAGCTCAAAACTTAAGAAACACCAAAAGAGAATGAAGCAAATACTTACTCCTTGGCAATTTTTTCTGTCCCTTGGTGGTGACTGTCTTCACCTCATTTTGAGTAATGACTAAGTTTAGCTAGAAACCATTTAGAGCTATGGTGGTATACCCAGGTTTAACCTTCCTCAAAGTATTTGTCAAGAAGTTTGGAGTATTCCCTAACAGTCAGGGTTAGAGTTTCTGCTCTTTGGTAGTTTCTACACCAATTTTTAATATATAGACCCTTGTGTCTAGCACATAATCCTGAAAGTTATAGCTAAGGTGTCTACATCACTCTTGCCTCTATCCTTGTTCCTAGAGAGTTGCTTGGTTACAGGAAATAGCATTCCTCAAATACCAGGTGGAAAGGAAGCACCAGAAATTTCAAAAGTCCACAGTCCTTTGAATATTCCCTGCTCCTTTTAAACTAATCAAACAGAGAAACCTTAAGCTTAATTTTGAGCCATATTATCCTTTGCTGATATATCATTGTGATTGTACTTGCAAATAAAAGCTTGAAGAAGCTATTTATTTACTTCTGTGTATAGTTTCATCCAGAGGTTCAGCCCAATCAAAATAAAATCATTTAAATTTCTGCTGCTCTGTCTTTTCACCAGCCGCACATTTTATCTGATCTAGTCAATATGGGGCATGTCAAACTGCTCTGAAATAATATTAATGATGAGCAAATCTAATTTGTTTTCTTGACTACAGATGGATTCATCTAATTTATTGGAAACTGCCTCCTATGTGGCATGCATATCTATGCACCCTGACTTGCGAAATGCCTCTAATAGAGAGAGGAACTGATTATTAAATTAATGACTGGGCTTCATTAGTTCAGTGGAGCTGAAGGAGCAAAGTCTACATTAGCAAATGTTGGCAAAGACTTTTTTCTGCAAAGGATTATGCTGTTGTGTGTATAGTTTTGTTTTTGTTTTATTGTTGCTTTGTGTATTTACTGCCCCTTTGCATATGTAGGTCTGAAGATGTGTGTTTTTAAAATGATTCATCCTAAAATTCTATCAGTCCCAGCTTCATTCTGCAAATACTTATCTGGGATTAAGTCTTATTGAACACAGTGAGACATACTTCTCAAAAGCATTTATAGTATTAGCCTGCATAGTTCTCAAATGTTGGAAGAAAGAGAACAAAACAGCAAAAAGAGTAAACTAAAGTTATTTCAAGCAAATGTTTTATACTTATCTTATTACTACTTTTCTGGCTTCTCTAGTTTTATTCATATGTGCCCAGTGGTACTTCTGTTCATTTCAGTGAGGCTTATGTAGGAGAATGTTCTGGTGGATTATAACTGAAGAATCTTTTTTGCTTGACTTTTGAAAATATGCCTGTTTAGCCAATACAAAGCTCAAGATTCGGGGGTTCACTCTATCTGTGCATCTTTCACACACACACAGGAACTTCAAAACCAATGTCATGAGCCACTGTGCATCAGCTTAACCTGTGGTGTGCATAGATATCCTCAAGTGATCCTGTTTTCAGCACTGGTTCTCCAGGTGTGATGGTGTCACTATTCCAGCTGCACTAAACTATCATCCAGTGTATGTAGTGCAAAGGTGTTTGTAGATAGTGATGGAAAAAAGAGGACTGCAGATGAATCACATATGTTGCAGCCATCATAGAGCCAAGACAATCTTGAGTCTCTGATAGTCATGACCCAGAGTACTGCAGTCCAATATCACAATATCAACACAGAGCTTTGCAAAACTTTACCTGATGCATTATCTTCCAGTGTAAGAGCACACCTTAGATAGATCCTTATTGTATTATTGAAACATTAAGAATACTGAGGCATATTATTTGGATATGATCCACTGACTTGGGTGAATAGGTAAGACAATTCAGCAGTTACCATGCATTGAAATATTACAGATTTCACACACAAAACAAAAAGTTAGAAATACCAGTGGGTTTTTTTTTAAACTGATTTAGCATGAAAATATTGATTATATTTTTGTGAAAATCTTTTACAAGAAAACTGTTGATTAATATATTCTTTCTAATGCTGTTCATACTGTAAATGTCAGATATCTAAATCTGGAAGACAAAAGTTTAAACCAGTGGGTTATCTTTAAGTGATCTCATTCTACAAACACATTATAATTTTTGTTCCAGTTTGATTCCGTTCAAGGAGCAAAATGTTGTGAAACATTGTAAACATCATCACTCAGAATATCACTTTTCTTTCTTTTGGATGAAACTATATGAACTATATCAAGTAATGTCCATATATCAATTTTTGACCTTAAGACTGTCCGTTCCTTAATTTTCTCATAGGAATTGTTTTGGTGAAAAACTGCACATGGGGATTTGCTTATTAGCTGTCAGTTATCCATTTCTGGTAAGTCAACTTCCTGTGCCAGTAGTTTGAACTGATGAGGACAGCTGTGTGGATATTGCACTACTCTTGCCTTTATGATTATTCCCCTTCCCACATTGGGCAGCCACACAAACACACTTCTGTGTGTGCAGTGTCTCTTACATAGCGATTTTGGTGAGTTGAAGGTGAGTATATGAGAAACTCACCAAGCAAAGTGTTTGTACCTGTTGTTATTTCTTGGGGCACCTTGCTCATGTAACTGACTGCAGAATGCAGGGGTGAGGAGAGTCAACTATTAGCCCCCCTCACTTTCACCCAATTAAGCTAGCAGTAAACAACCTGTGGGTTCTGGGTGGTTAGTTATGGCAGCAACCCTCTACTACCAGGTTCAGTGGATGCAACACGCTGCACCGGTGAAGGAATTAAGCACATCGGGCCAGCATGTGCTTGGCCCATGTGGGCTGGTTAGCAAGCTGTCATGACTTGTTAACCACTGTGATGATCATGTGAACTGGTTCAGTAGGTTTCCCTGGTGGTTTATTAATCATCTGACCCACCTACCCTTTCTGGGTTCAGATGACAATACAAGCTGCGCCAGGCAAGCGTTCTTATGTACAACAGATTGGCACATGACTTGCATGCACAGGTGCTTTAACAAC